TCGATAGAATGAGCAAATCAAAAAGTGGCAGTGTATATTTCCACGTTTCAGCGGAAGATTCATTTCGTTTTTGCTCATTCTATCGATGGAATGTGTGTGTGTGTGGGGAGAGAGAGAGAGAGAGAGAGAGAGAGAGAGAGAGAGACGATAAGTCTCCAACCCTGGCCAACAGCTAAGTCTCCAACCCGCGTGGCAGTGTATATTTCCACGTTTCAGCGGAAGATTCATTCCGTTTTTGCTCATCCTATCGATGGAATGTGCGTGTGTGTGTGTGTGAGAGAGAGAGAGAGAGAGAGCTGATAAGCCACACGCTACTTGGATCGATAGAATGAGCAAATCAAAAAGTGGCAGTGTATATTTCCACGTTTCACCGGAAGATTCATTTCGTTTTTGCTCATCCTATCGACCTATCGATGGAATGTGTGTGTGTGTGTGTGTGTGGGAGAGAGAGAGAGAGAGAGGGAGAGAGAGACGATAAGTCTCCAACCTTGGCCAACAGCTAAGTCTCCAACCCGCGCCTCGCGGCACGGTGCTTGGATCGATAGAATGGGCAAATCGAAAAGTGGCAGAGTATATTTCCACGTTTCAGCGGAAGATTCATTCCGTTTTTGCTCATCCTATCGATGGAATGTGTGTGTGTGTGTGTGTGAGAGAGAGAGAGAGAGCCTATAAGTCTCCAACCTCAGCCAACAGCTAGGTCTCGAGCCCCACGGCTCGCCGCACTCTTCTTGGATCGGTAGAATGCGCAAAGCAAAAAGTGTATATTTCCCCGTTTCAGCAGAAGATTCATTCCGATTTTGCCCATCCTGTCGATGGAATGTGTGTGTCGAGGGAAGAAACGAAGAGAGAGAGAGGGAGAGAGCGAGAGAGAGAGAGAGGGAGAGAGAGAGAGAGAGAGAGACATGAAACAAAAATCAAACGCCATCAGCGCCGTGGCGGGTTCCACTTGTACAAAAAAAAAAACAAAAAAAAATGCATCTGCGGCCCATCACAAACACCCCCCCAACCCCAGAACCCCCCCATCCCCCCACCAAAACCAGAATTTTATTGCGGATTCGGGGTCTCCTCTTGCCAAGCGCAGAAT